AAGATAGGGAAAAGGAACTTCTGAAAAAGGAATTAACGAAAGAAAGAAACAAAGAAAGAAAGAAAGAAACAAAGAAACAAAGAAAAGAGATATAGAAAAATGGAGAAAAATTAGAGAAGATAAAGAATTAAAGAATGGAAAAAAACGAAATAAAAAAGTCCCAGTTAAAACAAAAGGAAACACAAGCCACAAAAACATTAATTATCGATACACAAAGCAGAATATTATGAAAACTACCTATAAATACATACTAAAGTATCCAATTCAGTCCCTTGAAAACTATGACTATTATTATTATTATTATCATTATTATTATTATTATTATTATTATTATTATTGCTAATATAATTGGCATGGCGATTTCAAATACTCTTTTTAATAATCTCAAAACAAGAAATTTGGCAAACCATATTGATTTTCATTCTTTTTTTTTTTTCTAAAAAGCTGGCAGCACCAAAGACTAAAGCAGAAGAATAAATGACAGAAAGAATGTTAACAAACACAGTGACAAACAATAAATGAACAAGAAGAGATAACGAGAAGGGAAGTAGGGCGGTGGGGGAATGACCAATGCGCATGTGCACAGAAATGCATAGGAAAATATTGAAAAAAAAAGACATAGACAGGTCCACATTTTGGCAACACGCATTCAGAACTCCATGTGCACTAATTCAAAAAGTCTTCAATAGCGTACACAATCTATCTCCCTCAGATGCATGCATACCAAAACTTCACTGAAATACATGCATACATACATATATATATATATATATATATATATATATATATATATATATATATATATATATATATATATTTAGAAAAATATACGGAAAAAAACAAACAAAAATCCTAATATGCAATTATGCTGTTTTAATGTAAATAGAATGTCAACGTCGGACGTTTCGGTCTAATAGAACATCTTCAGGACATATTCATAAAACATAATTAACATAGACCATATTCAATTCAACATGAAAAAGACGATGGACATAAAAGCAATACCAATCCAAACAGATAACTGAAATCTTTTATAAGATCAGCGTTCCGTTTAAATATGATCACGTCGTCGTCACGTGGGCGATGTTGTGAAAACGTATTCCTAAAATTTGAGTATTTTGAATGAAAAACGAAAAGAAATTTATTTTGATCTAAAACTTATATATACGTTTTATTTCGATCTAAAACTTATATGTACGTTTTATTTTGATCTAAAACTTATATGTACGAGGTGATCATATTCATGTTGAATTGTATATGGTCTATGTTAATTATGTTTTATGAATATGTCCTGAAGATTGTCCATTAGACCGAAACGTCCGACGTTGACATTATATTAACATTAAAGCAGCATAATTGCATATTAGGATTTTTGTTTGTTTTTTTCCGTATATTTTTCTTCATACTGTCGGATCTATATCCATATATTTGGTTACATATATATATATATATATATATATATATATATATATATATATATATATATATATAGACGCTTAACAACGTTAAGTCCTATGAAAGGATGGCTCTATCCATAACCCGAGTTTCACGTGTTTTTTTTTTGTTTTTTTTTTGGTCCGTCTAGGCTATCTCCGCCTTTGCTTTACTGAGTAGATAAGTTTGTCTTTGTTTTTTCAGTATTGTCGTTTTTGTTCCAGACTATATCTGGATAAGAGTAGTCATAGGTTAGCGCCACTAACGGTTTTGTTTTTTTCTTTATATATATATATATATATATATATATATATATATATATATATATATATATATATATTCGAATGTAATGAGAACGAAAATAATATATAAATTCTAATGTTCACAGCATCAATACCGATAGTAGAGCAATAACTGAAATGGAACAATTTAGGTGACGTTTCACATGCGGCTTGCTTACGAACAGAATTGTTCATAACCATTTTGGCTCTCACCAGTCGAAGTGCAATTTAAATGCACCGAAGCGAAGTTGCATCTTTGTAGTGAGTAAATTGTTTTTGTCGATATGAATAACTTATAATATATATATATATATATATATATATATATATATATATATATATTGAACAATAAAAAATATTAAAAAATTAAAATTTTCAGACACACTGTAGTTGTAGATTAATATTCTTTCGTTTTGTTTATTATTATTTCATTTAGATTTCTCGACTAGTTTCGGCCAAAATGGCCATCATCTGGAGAAGAAATATTTCTGCTTGTTGGTATATATATATATATATATATATATATATATATATATATATATATATATATATATATATATATATATATATATAGGAAGCTTGTATATATATATATATATATATAGGGGAAGAGAGAGAACGATCAAGTCATCTGAAGCTCACGTGAGCGTGAAACTCGAGTTACGACTAGAGCCATCTTTCATAGGATTTAACGTTGATAAGTTTGTTTTTTTTGTTTTGTTTTTTTTTCGGTCTAGCCAATTTAGGCTTCAATCAGTTTACTGAGTAGGTAAGTTTGCTTTCTGTTTTTGTTTTTGTTTTTTTTTCTCTTTCTTTTTTCGGTCTGTTGTTTTTGTTCGAGACCTTATCTGGATAAGTGTTTTAGATTTTGGCAAGTTGTATAGTGTATGATCCACCAA